TTACCTGCTCAGTTTGTGATGAAGATAGAGTGAACTAAGAAATGTGAAGTACATGTAATATTCTGGCACTCAGGGCGCCCTCAGTATAGGTGGGCTGCTATCATTTTCATAGAGCCTCCAGGTTGGCTGGTCACTTCAGGGTCTCTGATGGCTTCTGTAGGTTACCTGTTGTCCCACAGACTGAGGAATAATCTCCTGTAGGAATTTTAGTGCCCATCGTCAAACTACCGTGACGTCTGAAACATGCCATTCCTCTTGGAAGATTCTACATAGAAATGACCATGAATAGCTCCTGTGTATAACCCAGGTTCAGAGGGAGGGTCTGAGTGAGGGCCAGGGTTATCTGGAACAGCTTCGGGCTAAAGGGAGAAGCTGATTTCATCTGATATCAAAATAACAAAGAAGAAGGGGAACTTGCTGAAAGTTTTCTTTGGAAAGTCACATAAGCAGAGGTGGGTGGTGGTACAAAGGAATGTTGTTATATTGTCCAATAATTCCAGTGCTGAAGGCAGAAATTAAGTGTGGCAAAGCAGTTTTACTAAGAGGAGTTTCATGACCTCAGGAAATAGGAACAGGTCTTAGCATTCTTTGTTTTGGTTACTTAGATTTAAGGTATTGAAATCCAATTGATTTTATTGGAACAAGACACAGACTTGTAATATATGGGAAACCCAGCTCTAAATGACAAGAGGCTATCTAGTAAACCAGTGGGAGTATCATTTTGATGCCAGTGGGAGGTTGTCATTTAAAAATACTATACTTTGAGTCCATCTGGAGGGAGCTAGGATCCCATGGAAGTCCACGTGTACCGCACTATGAGGGAACCTGGAGAGAGTATCTCACTCAGCTTGTACTTTTCAGAAAGAATGGACAAACTTTTGGGACTCTATGTCTCCCAGGTCAGAACCACCACTTCTTCCCATCAAGTTAATCAGCAAATGTTTACTGACACCAGCTATGAGCTCAAACAGTGTAGAAGGTACAACAAGAAAATTATAAATCGACAATAGTCCACTGTTAACCATTCTCTCCCTGTCTTCCCAGCACAATCTGTGTATAAAGTTGTTCAATTAAAGAAGCATCTAGTGTCATTAGCCAATAAATGCCTCTATCAAAAATAATACATCCTAGTTTAAGGCGATGTTTCTACATCCGTCTCCATGCTAGTTCCTGAGCTGCTTTAGGGAAGAAATAGTTTCCTATTTATTGCTACATCCATTATATATAATGCCTGACACATGATGCTCTATATCATTTGTTGAGTGAATGGATAAACAGGTGGGTGGATGGATAATGTATG